CCCTTAGCAGCAGTCCAATGCACAACACTAGAGGACTTCAAGGCACACTTACCCTACACAGCCCTTGAAGCCCTCATCACACACTAGTACATACACCAGATTTTAACTTTTTATCTATACCTTGCACAAAAAAATCACAAAAAAAAACCAACCCCACCCCTAATCACTATTAATAACCCCTTCACGCCTCTACAATAGGACCCCCGATGGCATAATCATCAAACTGATGGAGCCCTCGTATAAAGAAGAAGAAGAAGAAGAATTAGACCAATTCAATAAACCAATTTGGTGTCCTGATATTTAGGTAATCTGGTCAATTCAGTACATGAGATGCTTTGATACTTGTTACTCAGTTCGGGTACTTTAAGTCACTTCACAACAGTCCTTTCAATATTTTTTAGGTGCTTCAAATAACGGTTTAACATTTACTTTGCTTTTTATTGTCACGTGTTGCTAATATCATATTTCGATTTTCTTAGCGGTTTTGTTTTACCTTACAAAAACTTATTGAAATAACCTACATTCTTAGGTATCAAAATTACCAGGTACCGAAACGTCCAGGATTCCCCTAGGTTAATGTATGCAAGACATTCTCAACTTTCAAAAGGACCAGTGGCTAACAAATGTGAGATGTTGTTCAACGCCATGACCCATGAGCATAGCTAGACCGAAATAACCCACTTACATAAACAAATAAAGGAGGTCGGGGAAGTCAAGTCATTTCGGACTAGATCATGGCGATACAACTATGATGGGTCAATAGAGACTCGGAATAACAAAATCATGCAGTTCATTTTGCACGTAAGGTGCCAATTGTTAAAGGACAAACCCCTGGATAAGATTAAATGCCAGTATTAGTTAGGAGCCCACAAGGAGGGCCCTGTGGTGCGAGTAGCGTTAAATGAAAACTTTCCTGTTTATCAAGCAAAAAGTTAAATATCTTGTATATACATATGTAACGTACGTTTGGGAAATCTACATCGTATATAAAAATAAACATGTCAGTTATCAAAAAGAATATGAATTTAAAATTACTGGATTTTGACGTTCAACCACCTGTTTGTATTTCCCACTTGTATTTCAAAAGCTGCACGAGAGATGTCGCTGCAATATATGCGAATTTTGATTGGATGAAGTATAACGGAAGCGGAAATTTGTCGAAAAATATCTATTGTTGTAATATAAGTTTCAAAAAGAACATTAAATTATTACAAGTTAAAACAAAATATATATCCAAGAACTCATCTCACATGATTAATCTAGTTTGGCTTTTATAAAATTACACATAACATTTTGAGAATAATTTGATGTCGCAAAAGCTGTATACAAATCAAAGATGGCGATCGAAATAGAGGAACCAACTCTGTTTGAAAATGTTTTGCATTATGGACTCCTTTTAGGAGCAGTGTTCCAACTTATATGTGTGTTTGCCATTATATTTATACCAAAGAGTGAATTAGATAAGGTAAATGGTAGTTATAATTAGATAGATGATCAAAATTCACTTTTATTTGCATACCGGTACTCGGTCGTTTCGTCACCGAGTTCATAAGTCGTTTCGATCACAGGGACCTGATAACTTGTTACAGCTATATTTGTACCTATATGATCATTGGGGTGTCATTTTAACCAAAAGTCAATCTAAATTCCTAAAACTTGTAAAAATCTTTAGTTTAGGTATGATCATTGGGGTTATTATTTTTTACCGAAAGTCGATCTATTAAATCATGTTACACTTAGTTTAGGTCCAAATATATAGCTGTAACCAATTCTCAGGTTCCTGTGGTCATGTTACTTGGCCAGTAGGTACCTGGGATAGAGTGCTATACAGTTGCCTCATTAAAATGACCTTGACCTACTTTAAAGGTCACTGGGGTCAAAATGTTAAAAACTTAAAACAACAATATTCTAAGAACCATTTGGACTAGAGTCATGATACTTTGGTATGTTATGTAGACTAGCAGTGCGAATATTTTCTCAATTATAGTAATGAGGTGAAAGGTCAACTTTAAGTGCTAGTGGAGGGTCAAATATCAACTTTGGTTAAAAGCTTTAACAATCTTCTTCGCAAGTTCTATAAAGCCCAGGGTCATGATATTTGGCCAGTGAGAACCTGGGATGGAATGCTATAAATTTCCTCATTAAAATGACCTTGACCTTATTTCAAGGTCACAGGGGTCAAATATGTTAAAAAAATAAAACAACAATATCCTAAGAACCATTTGAAATAGAGTCATGATACTTGGGTATGTTATGTAGTCCAGCAGTGCAAATCTTTTTCTCAATTACAGTAATAATGTCAAAGGTCAACATTAAGTGCAAGTTGGAGCTCAAAGGTCATCATGGGTAAAAGGTTTAATTAAATAATCTTCTCTCAAGTTCCATAAGGCTCAGGGTCATGATATTTGGCCAGGTACCTGGGATGGAAATGCTATAAATTTCCTCATTAAAATGACCTTGACCTACTTTCAAGGTAACAGGGGTCAAATATGTTGAACACTTCAAACAACAATATCCAAAGAACCATTTGGACTAGAGTCGTGCTACTTGGGTATGTTATGTAGACCAGCTGTGTGAATTGTTTTCTTTATTACTGTATAATGAGGTCAAAGGTCAACTTTAAGTGCAAGTCGGGAGTCAAAGGTCAATGTGGGTTAAAAGCTTTAAAAATTAAAATTTCACATTTCAAACAACAATATCTTCAGAACTGTTTAAGAGATGTTAAAATGTCTTGTGGTCTAGTTACCAAATTTGGTCTTAAGTTACTTATATATCAGTTTCATGTAACAAAAGAAACAGGTGAGCAATACAGGCCCTCTGGGCCTCTTGTTTGAGAGTGGATCAGGCCGGTAGTGGATCAAAAGCCCATGTCCGGTCTGTCCCCAATTCAGCGTTATCGCTCTAGTAACTTCAATCTCAATAAGTAATGACTTTTTGTAGTATTCAGCTACATATTAAGATACTGCAGTGTACGTAGACATTGATGCAATTATTGTGTTCATAAAGAAGGTTTACAGTTTCAGACACATTTAGGTAAGGAAATAACCAATAAATTTCACAAATAAGTGGTCTGTTTGGTTCATGGAAATAAAGATCTGTTACAAAAGTAGCTTAGAACACAATGCAAAGTGGTTTTGCCTCTTACTATATCTTGGTACTGTTACCTTATTGAAAAGCGAAGACCAGCTTAATGCATAGCATGTAACAACCCATTTACAGTAAAACAAATGTAACAACCCATTTACTGTAAAACAAATGTAACAACCCATTTAAAGTATAACAAATGTAACAACCCATTTAAAGTATAACAAATGTAACAACCCATTTACAGTAAAACAAATGTAACAACCCATTTACAATAAAACAAATGTTTTTAGAATGCATCGACATTCAGCTAATAAGAGAAAACATTATGATAATATAACAGATCTCAAATATCTTTTCAAAACAATATATTCTACAATTTAAACCTGTTCAAAAAGATTTAACAAACTACAGCAACATTTACTTTTCAAGTTGATTTTGTCTTTTACCTTTTTGTTCTTTTGATGTCATTTTTCTTTAAAAAAAAATCTACTTTTTCATTGCTTCAATTATCTCTTTTGTGTTGAAGGGCCATTAAGAGTCCAATAATAATAATAATTCTTGTGTGCAATTTAATTCGTCCATGAACCTCATTTGACCACCAGTGACCCTTCGGCCTACTCTTGTTTTTCTTTGCAAACACTTCCCCTGAAAGGTTACATTCACAGAATGATTAATGATGCATGTTTTCCTTCATGTATTTTTATTTAGTTATTTTGATGTATAAAACAATGTTGAGATCATATTCTGTAAATAGTCAATAGTTACAGAATACAGTGTATATTTATCGTACATGAACCATTATTGTAGCAATGAGATTCTGTGGAAGTAATTTATATGGTGGGTTACAGATAGTTTAATGATAATGGTTCAAATCTGCTGTGTTTCTGTCACGAAAAATTGTACAGAAACATTAAGACAGTAGTGGTGCTGTTTGTTTTGTTTGAAATTTAGTGAAAATTATGGAATAACAGAACAAAAAAGATATATGAAATAAAACAACAACAACAGGAAAGTAAAAAAAGAGATGTTAATTCTCTATCTGAATGAATTAAAGAGCAAGTGTGTACCAATTATTCATAACTAAGAGAGAATTTATTATGTCTCCCCTTCGAATGAAGGGGGACATATTGTATTAATACTGGTTTTGCTTCTGGCTTCTGGTTCTTTTAGTCGCAACTTGTCCGGGCCGTACATTTTAAACCGTTAAAGATATCTTAATCAAACTTAAAGTATACCTGCATCACCCACAGAAGTTGTGCAGTGCACTAGAATTAGGTCTTCTACCCCACTATATACAGAGTTATGGCCCTTTGTTTATTTTTAATATCGAAGTTTATCCGGAGCTTAAGTTCCATGTTGTTTCACCTACGTTGACCAAACTTACCATATTTATGTACCTTAGGAAGACGGAATCTCTCGCACTGAAATCGGGTCTTGTGCCCCACTATATACAGAGTTATGGCTCTTTGTTAATTTTTTAAATAGAATTTTGTCCACAGCATAACTTCTAAACCGTTAATGATAAAAGTATACCTGTATCACCCACTGAAGGTGTGCAGGGCACTTGAATTAGGTCTTGTGCCCCACTATATACAGAGATGTGGCCCTTTGTTTATTTTTAATGCAGAAGTTTGTCCACGCNGCATAAGTTCCATGTTATTTCTCCTACGTTGACCAAACTTGCTATATTTATGTATCTTGGGAAGGCGGAGAGTCGAGTACTGAACATCACCCATCTGCGCATAATTGATCGTAGATGCATTGAGGATTATTTGACTTGATCCGAATAATTTTATTAAATGACCTAAATACACTAAGTTGAAGTTTATAGAAAATAATGAGCCAATAGAGGAACCAGATTGTAATCAGATGTGTGATAATTCCTATTTTCATATACATGTAAATGTGTCTGTAGTACCATATATAGCTGCCGAAAATTTACCAAAATTGTGAAGACAATTTAATAAGAACCAGAATTATTTAAAAGTTTGATGATTTAGAATTTACACACATTAATCTTGATGTGACCTTTCTATATTCTTCGAAATATGCATATTGGATAATAAGGGGAGACATATGTTTTTGTTCACAAAACAAATTTCTTGTTTAAATATTGCTGTAAAATCAGACGACAGTATCATTATTATCAGAGATGAAATTTTTGGTTGATCATGAAAAAACAGTATAAAAGTTTGAGAGTGTGTTATGCCCAAAATAAGCTTTGACTATTAGGTTTTAAACTAAAGGTCTATTAATTTGACTCTTAGGTTTTAAACCAAAGGTCTATTAATTTGACACATATGTTTCGACTCTCCAAAGTTCAGGAAAATATTTCACCTCTGAAATTGCTAAATGGTTTTATCAAGAGTTAACAGAAAACCCTTAAGTAAAACTGGTAATCACAGTTAACAGGTCTTTTGGGAAAACATTTAAGTGGATCCAGTCAGAGTGTTTTACCATATTATCATATAATTGAACTTATGTATGTAATGTCTATATATGTACTAGACATTTTAATAAATTACTTATGTGTAAATAATACAAAAACATAACCTTTATGTTCAGGACAGTGAAGAAGATTTGAAAGCCCAGCATGTTGGACAGAGTAGTGGACAAAATCAACAGCATGGGAACAACACAAAGAAAAACAAGAAGGAAAAGAAGAAGAACCGCTGATACCCCACAACATGAGCAACGAGGCCAAATATTGGTAATAACAATGTATCTCTGTTTGGATGCCTATACCTCTGCCCTGATGTCATTAGATACATTAAAATTTGATTTACTCCTGAGTAGTACCGAGTTCAACTTATGTCATTTTCTCTCTCTTTAAACAACTTCAGAATAACTGACAGACCAAGGGTAGTGATATTTGGTTTGCAGCATAGTAGGTCAAGGGCTATCAAGTTAAAATCAATGACCTTGACCAACATTCAAGGTTACAGGGTCATATGTATTCAAATGTTTAAACAGCTTCATCTGAATAACAAATATAAGGTCATG